GTGTGTGTGTGTGTGTGTGTGTGTGTGTGTGTGTGTGTGTGTGTTGCTGTCTATATTTTCAACAGCAACAAGACAAATCATAAACAGAGGGCGAAAATGAAGCCAGATATTTCATTCTGCTTGTAATCGATGGAAAAAATAGTGAAGAACTCAGTGGACCTATTGCACTGGGCACATCTGCTGCCAGAGACCTCGTCAGAGCGTCGCGACACACGGGGTCATTTTGATGAGGAAGGTGCTCCTGACCAAGCCGTCCCGGCCTGTGAGAGCTGGACCACAGCAGGAACACTGGGGAAGAGTTGACGTGTGTGCCCTGGGCCGTGGTGAGAGTCTGGACTTCCAGAAGACCGCCCAGCCCGTGTCCGAGAGAACCTGCAGAATGCCCCTCAGCAGCAAGGCTGGACGCACACCGGCTCGCATACCTTGAGTACTTCCCCAGGACACATGAAAAGGATGGCATGTTTGGGAAAGCAGAGATTTGGCGGAAGCCAGGGAAGCCCTCCCTCACAGAGGGATGGCCTGGAGTAACATCACCCCCAGACAGAATAGGCAGTGTCTATTCTGCCTCACAGAGGTTTCCGGGAGTCGGCAGCAGCTAAGCAGACAACTCTACAAATTCTAAACCCCGTCCCTTGTGTGAAGGAGTGTACTTTTGTAGCTCTCTGTTTCCGGCTTGGAAGGTGTGACTTGCTCTGTGCTGCTGGGAAGTCTGGCCGCATCGGAGCACTGCCACCTGTGGGGCCGAACCTGGTGGGGAGCGGGAAGGAGGGACTCCCTCCTGTGGCCTGGGCAAGACACGGTATCCGTGGACTGTGCTTCAGGAAGCGTGGTGCAGCTGCCTCGGGCATGTCTGGTCCTGCGCCCTCTGTGCTAACTTTGACCCACCTGCCATCAAGCGTGGGCAGGGTGTGACTCTCATGTGGTCCGTTGGGCAAGCAGCCCTGTCAGAGCTACATCCGACCAGGAAAATGTAAAACCTCTTGTGACAGATAACACATTTTTTGGGAAGTCCTTTAATAAGGAAACCCACTGCGTCGGCTGTGTTTCAGGACCCTGCCACCAGGGCCCGCATGAAGTCGCTCCTTGCACAGTCCTCTGGGGAAGCGCGGTTACGTAGTACCCCAAGGCCATCAGCAACTGCCCCTTGCAGTCAGCAGCACTTGCTGCCGGTGCCAGGGTCGAGAGATTGAAGTGCCAGGGGCTCAGGGTCCCAACTGAGCGGGGCTGTGAGCCCCCGTGCACTGGAGCGTGTCCCATGTCCAGTGGCCCTCCACTGGCAGTCAGGGCTGTGCGCGCCATGGGGCTAGTCATCAGTGCCCTGGTGAGCCCACAGGGCCTGGTTCTCTCGGTAGGGCGAAGCCCCCCAGGGCGGGCCGAGCCTGTCTCTCTCTGCCTGGCGGGCTCCGCGGGCTGAGGTGCTGGTGGGGGCGGCAGTAGCACTTTGGAATCGGGGTCACAGCCTTGCCTGCGCTGATGCTGCCAGCTGCCCTGCAGTGGGTTTCCTGTGGCCTTTCTGGCGTGGTCTTGAGTATGTAACTCCCACCAAGTGATTGGCTTGTGCAAGAACGGGGTGGAAAACTCTTGCAAGGATCGGGCAGTGGCTGTGCAAATAGAGTGCCTATGGGGCCCATGGCCTCCTGAGGAGGTTGGCTTGTTGGTGGTCCAGGTGGGGGTGAAACTCCTCAGATTGGATGAGGAGCTTGCTGAGGGGCTGAGGGGCTGGGGAAGGTGGTGGGGACAGGAGAGAGAGAAGCAGACCGACAGATACCCATGCTTCCTAAGGTCTCCAGAAAACCTTCCTGTAAAATGGATCTATGGTGCTTTCTTGAATTCTGTTCCAGTTGGAAGCACAAGTCTATAATGCAAGTTCCTTTGTTTCCAGGTTTGTTCAAAGAAGAGAACCCGTACGCCCGATTTGAAAACAACTAAAGCACACTCCGAGTCCCAGCAGCAATCCGGCAGCGGTGAGGTGGGGCTGGGCCTTCACAGCTCACCCGCAGAACCCACCCCGGGTGAGCTGAGCCACACCCCAAAGACAATCCTGGCCTGCCCCCCAGACTGAGCGTGGGCTCCCTCTTCTCTCCATTTCTGCAGCGAGCCCCTGGAGACATCAGCCCGCCACCCTTCCTCTGAGGAGGGACTGTGACACCCACCCCTCACCTGCATTTCTCAGAAATGTCAACTGGTGACAACGATGCAGTCCTCCTCTTTTTGCGACACAGAATTCTCACCTCCCTCTGCCCGCTAGCAAGGCTCAGCCAGCCAGGAGGAAAGTCATTTCATACTGTAGTCGCAGAGGGTTGGGGAGCCACCATCCCCCCCACCCCCCCAACACACATTTTCTTGCAACACTAAGCTGGCAGCATCTGCATCCTTTGGTTCACACTGCGCTTAAGTGTTGAAAGCATGGGGCCCCGACAGCAGGATTTTCTGCCTGAGCATTGAGGAATGGTTACAGTCACTTGAGATTATGTTTTCTTGGCACCACCACCACCCAGACGATTTCACCAGGAAACAATGCAAAGCTTTAGATTCTTTACTGGCTGACTTGTCACTTTACATCTTCATTGGACTGTCAGGATATTCTTTCAACAGATGCATGTTAATAATGCAGAGATCAGGCACTCTGCGCGTGACGGTTGGCCAGTGGTGTGAGCTGATGGGGCCGGAGAACAGTAATGCCGGGCTTATCTTTCTCACCTGCTAACAGGTGTGCCAGACTGTGCCCAGCCAGGAGCCAGGAGGTGGGAGTTGAGTCTTGGGTGCTGTGTCACAGGCCAGCCTCGCACTGGGAAGAGCCGGCTGTCCAGGGCCAGCTGCAGGGTCTCTCTCCCCACAGCACAGCAGCTGCTGAGCACGCCTTGCCTTCCAAAGGGTTCCAGGCTTCGAGCTGCACGTCTCTGAGTGTTGCTTTCGGCCGCAGCTTCTGAGTCTGGCCAAGAGACCACCAGCATCTCAGTTTTACATGTGATAGCTTTCTTTAAATTCAGGATGTGTGGCAAATACTGGAGGGCAAGCTTGAAGTAATGGCGCCGTAAAGCCTTGCCTGAAAGTAATTTGAACATGGTTGCAGCTGCCACTGTGCTGCGCCGCGTTCCACATTCCGCTTTGGAAGTGTCCACATCGAGCGAGCGTGCTCTCTGTTTTCACGTACACTGTCATGTTGGGGCAGAGATGGGACACCCCAGCGTCATAGGAGGTCCCCTGCAAGAGCAGTGCGCTCTGTGACCCAGACACTCACAATCACCACCCTGCCTGACGGGCCGTTTTCCACTGTGGACCGTGTGTATCACCAGCTAACATTTCTGCTCTGATCCTGACACGTGGGAGAAGAGCTCCTTTGACACATGCTGCTGTCTTCTCTCTCAGGCATTGAAAAGCACGTTAGAGCGTTACGAAACATTCCTGCATATTTTATCGCTGCCTTTACAGTTTTACTTCCCGCTCCTGATTCCTAACAGGGCCTTTTATAATAGACTGTAGCGCACTTTGTATTAACCCAGTAGTATGTATGTAATCACACCGTCTTGGAGTTGAGGTTACTGCGCTGCCGGGAGAACCAGTGTACCCAATCCTGTGGTGCTGCCAGGCCCTCAGTGAGGGGGGTCTCATCCAAGTCCCAGTCTCAGGAGCAGCCACATACTAACCTCAAGGAAATCTGTAGCCTTAATTCTTAACCATTTGCAATAAAATGGTTTAATACAAGCTTCTGCCTCGTGTATTGTGTGTTCCATGAGTTTCATTTCCGGGTGGTGCTAGCGTGAGCACGGGGAGAGCCAAGTCCGCTGGGATAGGGTGGCAGCATGACTTTCTGGGCCCCTGGTCTGGCGTGTGAGCAAGAAGTACAGATCAAACCCACTGACTGCCGTGGGTCTGTTTGATTCACAGCGACCCTGTAGGACAAGGTCAAACTCCTCCGCTGGGTTCCAGAGACACTGAGACAGACAGCCTCATCTTTCTCTCTTGGAGCAGCAGGTGGATTTGAATCACCAGCCTTGCAGTTAGCCTAGCCTGCTGCACCACCCGCACCCCTAGAGGAACACAGGGTGCCTGGAATTGAGTGGGCTCTGCAGAGCTAGACCTTGGCCTCTTCAAGATGCTGGGCCTTGCTGGTGGCGACGTCCAGGAGTTTCCTCCGTCAGGAGTTGTAAGAGCTGATGTGGGGTGGGGGTGTTGTGGGCTGACTTGCTAGAACAAGGACTGGAGGCCTTAATCTCAAGGAGGTTGCCAGAAAGATTTGTCCCCAGCAGGCTTAACCCCCCACCCCAGCATCCAGATTCGTGTGTTCCCAAGGAACGACCTGGGAAAGAAGGGTCAGACTTCTCCAGAAAGTTTATGGGTGGGGGGCGGGGTGCAAAATCTATCTGCAGAGTATCTAGTGAGATTACGCTACTGGCACATCCCCACTAGCCATAGGCAAGGGTCTCAAAATGCTTTACTATGAGATAAGGATCATTGTAACCATGATTAAACTGGATCGAACTCGATAACGTGGTCAGTTGACTTCCCTCTTGACCGACCCAACCTGAAATTCTAGGTGCAAGTCTTTCTTACTCATTTCATGACAAATTGCTTCCCTGGCCTATTAAATATTCAGAGTGATCTTTTCTGTCTGGTAGTTCCATAATCTTGTCAATTTGAGAGGATTAAAAGTGAAGGGGTAGAGTTCAGCCTGTCAGTCAGGTGGAGCTTGATGACCTCATTTGGGGCCATAACGGAGCTAAAGAGCTCGCTGGAGGTGGGACACACTCCTATTACAGCTGACAACACACATGGAGCTAATCTAGTGCTCTGAGCTAGAGGAGCCACATGGAAAGCCCTGCCAGTGCTGAGATGCCTACAATGCCACTGGATCCACAAGACTTCCCACCCACTGGCTTGTGATCTTCCTGTGTTTTGTGATTCTGAAGAGGACTTTATAGATTGGTTTCAGACATAGGGGCTAATATTGGACTTATGGACTTGATGTGGACTGGGCTAGGATGTTTTCTCATTCAATTGCCCTTGTATATAAACCTCTTTTTTTTTCTTTTAGAAACCAGAACGTATTTATTTTAAAGTCCCTTTAGCTATTTATGTTTCATTTCACTCACGCAATACAAAACAGGAGAGAAGAGTGGGCTGTTTTTTATTTTTTTATTTTATTGGGCTCATACAACTCATCACGATCCATACACACATCTATTGTATATCAAGCACATTTATACATCTGTTGCCCTCATCATTCTCAAAATATTCGCTTTCTACTTGAGTCCTTGGTATCAGCTCCTCATTTTTCCCCTCCCTCCCCACTCCTCACTCCCCTCTCCCTCATGTACCCTTGATAATTTACAAATTATTTTGTTATATCTTGCACTGTCTGATGTCTCCCTTCACCCTCTTTTCTGTTGTCCGTCCCCCAGGGAGGAGGTTTTATGTAGATCCTTATAATCGGTTCCCCTTTTCTACCCAACTTACCCTCCACCCTCCCGGTATTGTCACTCTCACCACTGGTCCTGAAGGGATCATCTGTCCTGGATTCCCTGTGTTTCCGGTTCCCCTCTATACCAGTGTACATCCTCTGGTCTAGCTAGCTTTGTAAGGTAGAATTGGGATCATGATAGTGGGGGGGTGAGGGGGAGTGGGGGCAGGAAGCATTTAAGAACTAAAGGAAAGTTGTATGCTTTATCATTGCTACACTGCACTCTGACTGGCTCATCTCCTCCCCGCGACTCCTCCGTCAGGGCATGTCCAGTTGCCTACAGATGGGCTTTGGGTCCCCAATCTGCATGTCCCCTCATTCACAATGATGTGATTTTTTGATGCCTAATACCTGATCCCTTCAATATCTCATGGTCACACAGGCTGGTGTGCTTCTTCCATGTGGGCTTTGTTGCTTCTGAGCTAGATGGCTGCTTGTTTACCTTCAAGGCTTTAAGACTCCAGCCGATACATCTCTTGATAGCCGGGCACCATCAGCTTTCTTCACCATGTTTGCTAATGCACCTGCTTTGTCTTCAGCGATTGTGTTGGGAAAGTGAGCATTGTGAAATGCAATTTAATAGAACAAAGTGTTCTTGCATTGAGGGAGTACTTGAGTGGAGGCCCAATGTCCATATGCTACTTTAATACTAAACCTATAAATATATGCACATAGATCTATTTCCCCATCATCATAGATAAGTATATTTACATATGTACATGCCTGGATTTAGACCTCTATAAATGCCCTTAGTCTCCTAGTTCTTTCCTCTATTTCCTTTGACTTTCCTCTTGTCCCACTATCATGCTCAGCCTTCATTTGGGTGTCATTGATTTCTCTCGGTTATGTTGCCCTTGATCAAGCCCTACTAGGCCTCTTTCTTATACACATGAGTGTCTGTAAATTTGTTTCTCTAGTCCACCCAGACTAACACACTGTTTTACTCACTATTTCTATTTTTATCTCTGCATTATTACTATTCTATCCCTGCCACTTTGTATTGTTTCTATTGGGTTTCCTAGTTTGTGAAGCATAGAGGGAGTAGATGTATAGAGATAAGACCTGATGCCAGGGACTATAGGGGAGGTAGGGGTAGGGTGGGTGGGAGATGGGGAGGGCACTGAGGGAGCAAACAATATATGTGGGACAGGGGAAGGAGGACCAGAACTGATGGTTACTACATAACTCATTTTAAAAGTGATTTAACCAGGGGTGGGGTGAAGGGGGAAAGTGTTCTAAAATTGATTGTGGTGATGATTGTACAACTCTTGATATGATTATTGTGTGATAGGTGGTGTATTAAGTGCCAATAAAACTTTTAAAAAGTTAAAGGGAGGGGGCGGTGTCCTACTTCCTGGGTGCCAGGATTCAGGGGCAGCCTTGTGCTGGGGTCCCTTAACAGGGTAGAGCCATCCGAAGACCTGCGGGGCAGGACTAGCAAGTGGGTGCTGGCTGTCAGCGGGAGGCCTGGGTTCCTCTCCACAAGCTCATCTCAGGGCTGCTGGTGTATGCCCACAACATGGGGCTGCTCCACATCTCAGAAGCCACCCAAGAGGCTTAGGCAGGAGCTGCTGTGCTCTTGTGGAGCCCCCACCCCACCCTACCCCAAAAGTTACACCCCTTCCCTTCTGCCACATTCCACTGATTGCCTTACATCAGTGTGATGGGAGGAGCCAAACTGATGACTAGCAGATGGGGCAAGGTAGTCCTGATCCACACGGAGCCAGCCAGTCTGGTCCCAGACATAACTCGTCCTTGCCAGTGATGGTTCATTGATTTACTCCCCCAGCCCCCACTCCCAATAAAGCCATCATGGTGGAAAAGAGGTAAAATCTCTCATCCTGGTGGTGTGCTCTCTGGCGGACTGGGGGTGGGGATTTGAAGCTGGGTGCAGGATCCACCCCTACCTCGCACCTGGCTGCCATTCTCCTGGGAGGGTGTAGAGTTGAAGAAGTGGCCTCTCCCAGCTCTTGCTCCGTGGGCCTCTAGGAAGGTGGAAGCCACACCTCATGAAGGTCCCTGATTCTTGGTGAGGTGGCTTGGCCTAGGGTACCTATTGTTGTGCAGACATTTGGGATTGTTATGCAGTTAAATGTCTTTTCTTTTTGATGGGGAAGGGGATGTCTAGTTGGTCTCTCCTCATTCTAATTATATAGCCTGGTTTTTCTAGCACTTAAAAAAAAATGTTTTTATCGTACCTGTAAGGTTTTGACCCCTGGAAAAGGATTCTGTTACCGTAGGTGTAAAGTGCAAATTCTACACCCTGAGTTGTCAGCGACCCCCCGCCCCTGCGGTCTGAGCAGGAAGGATGGAACAGTGTCAAATGAAGTGCTTCTGGCGGGCCCAGGTGGGAGCAGGCTCACCTGTTGGGCTGATGGGCCCCCCAGGCATGGGGTGACACCGTTGTGCTTCACAAAAACCAGACCCTGGGAGTGGGCTCGGGGGACACGCATGCCAATGACTAGGTGGTTTAGGGTGCAGGGACAAACATGCACATGACCACCAAAGTCAGGCTTTGAGCCCACGAGGCTCCCAACGAGCCAGCTTTGCCCTCACCTCTGCAGGCGCCTCCTTCCAAACCTCACCAGCTCCTCCTCGGGCCTGGAGCAGACCGTGGGAAGATGCCCGAGCTGGCTAATGTGCCAAAGCAGAGGGTCCTGGTGACCCACAAGCCTGACCAGCTGAAGGCTGGAAAAAGAATCTGTGGACTTGTAGGTGTCACTAGGCAGGTGGGCACACCTGGGAGGACGCAGCAGAGGAAAGGGAAGAAGCTATCCAGGTAAGGTGAGTACCAGTTTGTTCTCTAGCCACGGCTGGAGTCACACCTGAAGTTTCCTGGAGGACCAGACCAGCTTGGCTGCCATTTCCTCTCGCCACCAGATTTGGTGGTGGTTAAAATAGATATGTATATGTGTATATGCATATATTCATGTATGTGTGTACACATACACATATATGTATATATGAAACTGTTGACAACATAGAGCAACCCTGATGGTGCAGTGCTTATGCATTGGGCTGCTAACCGCAGAGTCAGCAGTTCAAAACCACTAGCTGTTCTTTGGGAAAAAGGGCTCCTGGTAAGAGTTACATCTCAGAAACCCCAGGGGAGGGTGGAGCAGTTCTGCCTGTCCTATTGGGTCACCATGAGTCAGATTCTACTTGATGGCAGTGAGGTTTTGTGGTGGGAAAACAGCTGTCACGTGGCCCTGTAATCTTCCCTCAGGCCACCTAACCATAAGCC